TCCATTCTTGGAAAACATACACTCATACTAATGAGTATTGTATTTTGCAAAGTGCAAGAAGCAAATGCTAGTGCAGGAAATAGTTATAAAACAATGGCAAAAAGAAGAAAACAGGTCACACCAAAGACCAGAGTATGGTTTTAGTGTTGTTTCTGTTCAGTGAGATGAGTGCATGATTTGTTGTGGCACTAGAGAGGTTAACCCCTCCTTTCCTAATATCCACTGGGCAGAGGTTGTGAGTGGCACTGGTTCCTCGGGATTTTCCGCACAAGCTGCATTAATCCTGCTTCAGTGAAATGTAGGTCAAATCCACAGGCTGCTTACCAGTCATGCCGGGAACTCATCAGCTTGGCAGAGTTGTCAAATAAGACCCTGTAACTGGGCAGAGATCAGAGCCTGCCCTCGCTAGGGTATCACTGAGAGACTAAAACTGTCAATTGGCCCCTGTGTCACCATGCAGTACAGTAAAACAGTGCTTAATGCTTCTGGGATTCTAAACACGTCTGTGAAACTGTTGCTGGACTTTATGTGAATATGTTAAAAGAACCTACTAAACTATGGACATTTATATCCATTGCTGTGGGTAAACAGTAACATCAAATATATCATGTAGACCAGAGGTGCTCACAATTTTTTGTGTTAAGATCTACTTTTCAAATGGCGAACTACATGAGATCTACCAACAAAAAAAGACCTCCCTCGCTCTCTCTCTTCTGGCTGTCTGTTCTTGCTTTCTCTCCTGCCTGTCTCTCCTATCTGTCTCTCCTTGTTCATCCTCCTGGCTGTCTTTCCTGGCTGTCTCTCCTGGCTCTCTCTCTCCTGGCTTTCTCTCTTTGCTCTCTTGGCTTTCTCTCCTTGCTCTCTCCCCTGGCTGTCTCTTCTCTCTCTCTCTTTCCTGGCTTTCTCTCCCCACTCTCTCTCCTGGCTCACCTTGCTGTATTTTGCAAACAGTGTAGTGCAACATGCTGGGTAAACTAATATTCTTTGATGTAATAAATAGCACTTCAACCCCCAGTATCCACCAGAAAGGTGTCGGTGAGCTTGGCTCAGCAGACTCAGGCTAATAGGTAATCATGTGTGCACAGCTAGAAAAATATACCAAAATGGAATAAAGGGGCCCCCATTCACACCCTTTGTGATCTACCGGCATCAGCTTTGAGAGCTACTGGTAGATCACAATCTACCTAATGGGCACCCCTGCTGTAGACTGTTCATTCCAAAAGCACTGCAATCTTTCTTTATAACCCTGTGTAAGATATAGAAAATGCCTGTTGATCCTGCCTTGGTTTGCTTCTGTAGGGGGACAACTCTGCTCCAAATCATGGAAGTGTTGTCAATGCTGATAGCCCCACCCACTCTGTACATGCTCACATCCCTCCTTTAAAGGATAGGCATGCCTACACATACGCTGCCCTTTCAGCCCGGCCACCCATTTTGCTCAAGGGACATGTATGTCCAGAAATATTTTTGCTACTTAACCCCTTAGTGACCGATGCCTTGTTTTCGTTTTTTGCACCCATGATATAATCCACATTTTAGGCCTGAAAAGTACTTCAGACCCCCACACATGATATATTTTCTGAAAGCCAAGACCCTGTAGAATAAAATGATGGCAGTTGCAAATTTTTATTTTGCACGATATTAGCGCAAGGTATTATCAAACCCCAAAAATTTAGTGGAAGGTTGGCAGCAGTGGGTAGAAAGAGCAGGGCAAGCTGGCCTCAGGAAGGGTACACACCTTGCACTCACCTTTCACTTGGTTCTCACAATCAGTGACAATCTTCTTGTGCTTTCTAAATCTGGACATGGTTCATGTGCTCAGATTTTCTCTCGGGGATCGGATCACCTGCAGTGCAGCGCAGTCCAGCACACACCCAGCCCTTATGTGTGGTTCCCAAGTAGGCTGCCACGAGGTCCCCAGCAGGCACCAGACCTTATACTTCATTTGAAAAAAAAAGCATCAGTATCTGTTTTTGGTATGGGAGCATGTGTAGGAGAATGAGTACTCGTGCAAATGCTCAGTATTGGCACAGATACCAATAGTGGTATCGGTACTTGAGGAAAAGTATTTGTACTCGTACTCAGTGTTGAAAAAATGGTATTGGTGCATCCCTAATTTTTAGGATTAACTCTTGTGTTTAGTTTCATTTTAAGTAGATGTGGTCCACTGTTGTCAGTTGAGGCTTCAAGAGATCAGCCTCACTGAGATGCAACAAAGAAAAAGTAAATGGTGAAAAGTTTTTTTTTTTTAAAGGCAGTTATGTAAGATACACTGTGATATAGCAAATTAAATATAATTCAGTTAGGTTTTACATCCTACAAGTCTTTTGGAGCCTTAAATGTTCCACTAACAAATTGCATTCTGTAGTGCAACCACATAAAACAGTAAAATATGCTTATTATATTGATACATTTGCATGCTGTGTAAATTGGGTGCGCTCATGTGTGCTGAATAATTATGTACAAGAACAGTTAAAATATTCACCCAAAATGAATATTCATTGGCAATACGTCTGGACCTGTAGTGATTTTCTTTGACATTTAATCTCACAAGAAAATTGCTAAAGAAAATTCCCTTTCAACAACGGCTTTGCATTGACTATCCTGGATACAAGCGAAGTTTTCACATTTTCAAACATCTAGACCAACGTGTGAGGAGAAACAAACAGGAAGCCCAATTTCTCACTTCCGCACAATACCTGAACTGAGAGCTTCTTCCCTGGGGGCATTTTATAGAGGCTAGCACGTTGTCCCCCATCTGCTGTAGTGTGACACTAACGGGAGGTGACACTGAGGAGGGCTGGTTAGGTGTAAATCACTAAGCATTGCAGTGTCTCCTTTGGGTGTGCATGTCAGCGGGTGTCAATGGAGTGAATTTGATGAAAGTCGGTAATGTGAAATTTGTGCAGCGTATACAGATTTGGCGTGCAGCTAATGCTATCATACACTTCAACCAAGTCTGAAGCTGAAGTGGACTTGGCTTCACTGACTATACAAGAAAAAGCATTACAACATTGACTTTTTTGGCCTTTTTTTTTTTTTTTTTTTTTTATATGGGTAAAAAGCATGATACAATAGGCCTCTGTGATGGAGGCAGAAATCATTTGTTTATTGTGTAATTCCAGATGGAGGTTTTAGACCCTCTGATAGATTGTTATTGCTTAGGGGACAGAGTGCAAAAGCACTGGACCCTGAGCTTAGGGCTGTGTGAGAGGAGAAGTCTTGTTTGTCGAATCATCTTGTAAGCTGCTTGTGTAGTGATGGGGGCAACTAGGTGTCCTTCCATTAGTAAATCAAACATTGAGTGATAGGCGTGCCAAAACACAAGTGTACAGAAGGACCTAGAGACTGAAATTTGGTCTTGAACATGCTTTATAAACAGCAATCATAAGCAAGCCAGTACATTTCACCAGAAAGGGGAAGGGGGGAAATCTTCCAATGGGGACACCTGATCTAGTGACAACTGTCTAAAATTGGCCATAGATTGGTAAATTTCTTTTGTTCAGTCTATGGGCTGTACAAAAGAAATCTAACAGATTCCTCAATCCATGCTAATACCCCCCACCAGGCTATTGTGTTCAATACATTTTTGAACAATGACTACAGCTGATTGGCTGACAATTTCTGGCCTGGCTTATTCGCCAAAAGTCGTTGAGCTGGAATGGCCAACCACTGCTAGAATTTGTCCCAATTCGAATCGGCCAAAATTCTAACAGTGTAAGGCCAGCTTTAAAGGGAAGTTTGCCTCACTATTGAAAAAATGTCTCTCACTTCCTGTTGTGTTTTTGGGCAGGAAGTTAAGTACAATCTCCGTAATGGGGAGCAGACATTAAAACTGACAGAGGGTTTTAACCATTCCCTACACTAACACATAAAAGGTTTATTAATAAATGTCTATACCAAAAAAAACACACAGGTTTATTCACAAAAGGGTGAAGAGTTTGGAGAAGGCAGAAGAAGGGAACCATCTAGGACAACATAGCTGAACTGGAAAGTGAGCTGAATTGTTGAATTTTTCCAAATCAGCTGTTTTGGCCTAGATTGTTCACTTCTCCTGCCTTCTCTAAACTCTTCACCCTTCTGTGAATAACCCTGACCGTGTTATCTAGTAAAATACATCTTTAATTATAATGTTTTCATTTTTATATTCTACAATATTTAAGGCTAGTACAGAATATAAACTAAATCATCAAGTAAAGGCATAAAAAGGGTAACGATTATTTAAAAGGAAATTATCAGACTGTACGGAACAGCTCACAAAAGACAAGGATTGATGTATGCACACAAGATAATAATCTTTAGAGAATAGCTTGAGAACAGGAGTCCCAAAATGGTGGCTTGTGTTGAAATAACCTGCAGTGAATGGTTATTGTCAGTATTTCCAACTGGTATCTATGAAAACGTAACCTTTATCAGCAGCAGGAAATAAAAGAAGTTTTTCAGGCCTGTTATCCACTTGTTGTCACTTCACCTATCTCACCTACTGATGAGTACATGAGGCCCATAAGTCACGAGAGACAGTAGACAGACCCTGAAGGAGAAAATGTTGGGGAGAGCAATCCCACAGAAAAGTTGTCAACAAATCCAAAACAACACAGTGAAAATATTCCACTCATCTTCACATCTACTCATTTTAAATGAAAAACGGCTTCAGGTTTTTCCCCCCATAGATAAACCTAACCTGTTTGTACTCTTTATTGATTTACAAGCTTTTGTTAGACAATCAACTTTACAACATTGCCAAACCAAAAATAACAAAGTTCTTATGGATAAGCAGGGTAACGCCAAGAAAACATGATAGCGTGAGACTGGCAGAGATGGCGGATCGTGCTGTGATAGCTTACCACTGTTGAAATGACTGGGAAGTTCTCCTTTTTGTGAATTGTGAACTTTAAAAACTTTGTGATACAAAATGATTCTTCCTTATTTCCTTTATTTTGTTAAACTTTTGAAGTTGTACAATTGTGTCTTCTTTATGTAACTCTTCTCTCCTCCAATAGGCATTTTAGATTTTCACATCTTTCCCCGAGACATGACTCTAGAAGTAGGTGGCGTGGCTAGATTTCAGTGTCAGATCCGTGGAGTGCCGGAACCACAGATTATATGGGAACGAAATGGAGAAATTATAAACACAGAGCACCCAAGGTAAATGGGACAATGTGTTGTAGAAATGCAGGCGACATAGTGGTTTAAGTGCAACTGAAGGCAAAACTTTTTTTTAGTGTGGGCAGGGATTAGAACAGCTGTCAGGTTTGTATTGCTATCCATGTCCCTGTAAGGGAGATTCACCTCCTCTATTTGTCCTGGTGACCATTATCAGTGAAAGTGAAAGAAATCCCAAATTTTGGGTTGTTACCAGAACAGGAATAGATGGGAAATCTTCCAATGGAGACCCTAGTTCTGATGACCCTGATGATCACCAGATGATACTATAAGGGAATTTCCTGTTGTGGCTATAGGGCAGAAAGTGAAAGGCAATCTCCCCAATGGGATATAGATGCCAAAAAAAGCTGACGGGTTATAACTAGGGATGCATCGATACCAATACTGGTATCGTTTTCGGTGCCGATACCGAGTATTTGGGTGAGTACTTGTACTCGCCCAAATGCTCTGATACTTGCCTCCGATATCGGAACTTTCGGTCAGGCATTACCGAGGGAGATCTCCCTCTGACCAGCAGTGCCGAGGGAGCATGGAGCCGGTTTCTTTTCCAACCAGGCAGCTTGGCTTCCTAACCAATTAGGAAGCCAGGCAGCATGTAATGACCTGCCTCTCGGCTTCTTCCTGATTGGTCAGGAAGCCAGGCTGCGTAGGAACAAGTAAAGCCGGCTTCCTAGCCAATCAGGATGCCGGGAGGCAGGTAATGACGTGCCGCCCGGCTTCCTGATTGACTAGGAAGCCGGCTTCACTTGTTGCTAGGCAGCCTGGCCAATCAGGAAGCCGGACGGCACCTCATGACTCACCGCCCGTCTTCCTGTTTGGTCAGGAAGCCAGGCAACCTCAAGAAGTGAAGACAGTGTTCTTTTGCTAAAACACCGGCTTCCCAGGCAATTTAGAAAATGGGCATCCGCGATACAGGGAGTAGGATCAATCCACTGTGAATGGCTACACAAAACCATATCCTATGTTAAACCACAGACAATATCGTGTTTGCCTGTCACATGATATTTACACAGAAATCTGTTTATTTTAAGACAAAGGGTCCCATACATAATTGGTCAGTGTGTGGAGCAGTTACGAGCTACCATATAACTGCATGGATATGGGGCGGAAGTGATGAAAGATGTGGTTATATGAGGGTCGCATTCATACTTGTAGGGGTCTTTGTTGGACTAATGCCATGGTCCCCTGTGTGTAAGTTATGAATTTCCACATCAGTCCAGACTGGCCTGATTTGACCATATCTGCATCTCTGATCTCCATAGGTGGCAACATTTGTGACAGATTGGTGCAGTTTGGTGGCCCAACTGGCATATATATGGTTATCTACCTGTATCTGTACATTTTCTGAGAAAATTCCCCCTTTGCACTGCATGTATTGTATATATTAGGGCTGCTTATGCATATTAAATGATGGATATTATGGGTATTAAATTAAATAAAAATTACATAGCCTTATGTTTTTTAACACACACAGATACACCTTGCTACCCACTGGTGTGCTGCAGATAACTGCCCTTCAAGCTGAAGATGGGGGCATATTTCGCTGTGTGGCCAGAAATGCCGCTGGTATTAAATACAGTCCTGAGGCCATGCTAACTGTGACAGGTTTGAGATCTTAAAAACATATAGTCAAGAAAATGTATTATAACAAACTGGAAGATTTTATATTTGAATATATGACAATAGTGGTATTGACATTATCTGTTGCAGGTCCTCATTACACTGGATATAAGGATCCAATGATTCTAGTTGGTCCTGAGAACCTCACTAAGACTGTTCATCAGACAGCAATTCTTGAGTGCATGGCTACTGGAAACCCTCGGCCTATTGTGTCCTGGAGCCGTCTTGGTAAGTTATGGAATTCTTAATTAAACCATAAGCCATTGGTAAAGTAGTAATGTCTGACTTCTCTATGGTGTGCTATGGGTATTAGCTGTTATGTGTGTAAAATGGTCAGAACATATTTGGGCATATTGGTGGTGTTACTCTCTGCAGTTGTCCCATTCCTCATCATCCCACAAGACTCTATTTAACATACACTGCCTGGCCAAAAAAAAGGTCACACACTCACTAATATTTTGTTGGACCGCATTTGCAATGGCATAGTTTCCGTAAGCTTATGCAATGTCACAACATTTATTTCTGTCCAGAGTTCTATTCATTTTTTACCAAGTTCTTGTAGTGATGATGTTAAAGTCGGACCACTGTGTAAAGTTTTCTCCAGCACATTCCAAAGATTCTGAATGGGCTTAAGGTCAGGATTTTAGCCCGATGAATTTTGAATCATCTTGGAATATGCTCATGCTATCAGAAAAAAATCCATTGATGGAAAAACTAGTCATTCTGTATATACAGGTAGGCAGCTGACCTCATTTTTTGGGGACATAACATTGCTGAACCTAGACTAATTATCCAATGGAAGGCTCTTACCTATTTGCTTAGTTAAGTTCAGGTGGTGACTTTTTTTGGCCAGGCAGTGTTTCAACAATGGTAGGGTGTTCTCTTTACTGAACGTACATTCTGGTAGTTGTAGCAGTTTACATGTTGTAATTTCGCATAGACAAAGTGAATCGTAAATGACGTAATATCATATTCAATAAACCTGAATTTGGGTCCCTTGCAGATGGCCGTCCTATTGGTGTGGAAGGGATCCAGGTATTGGGAACAGGAAATCTAATGATTTCAGACCTCACTATACATCACTCTGGAGTCTATGTGTGTGCTGCCAACAAGCCTGGAACCAGGGTGCGCCGGACAGCACAAGGGAGGCTTGTAGTACAGGGTAAGAACATGTGAAATTAAAGTTGTTTTTTTTCCCAAAATAGTTTATTTAGGCTTAAACAAGGTCACCATGTGACCATAGGAATACAATACAGTACATACATTTATGTTTTGTTTTGTTTAGTGTCTTGCGGTATAGTGGCCAAGTCACGGGTGGCCCACATTTATCAAGCAATATAACACGCAAATAAACATGACATTATGCAGTCCAATTTGGTCTTGTTTAAAGAGATATATACATATAGATATATATTTTAATGTGAGGATTTGAAAGGGATGACCCAATACCGAGAGTTACATCACTCTGTTCGATGTTAAGGGAGTCCCTATATACTGATCTAGTTGTCCCCGAGTTATTAGGGGAACATGGAGGGAGTGCGCCAGTCTTTCGTAAATAGATTTCTTTCCACGTCCCCCTAGCAACTGCGGTCGAGTCCTATTATCCTCCCAGTAATGGACATCAAATCTCACTGATTCTGCATGTTAAGTCAGATTCAAACGAGATAATCGAAAGGATAAAGAAATTGCTCTTTAACATATAGAAAACATAACAAAAAGATTATCTAAATTGCGTTCGTAGCTCGCCAGTCGTTGCAGCGTCCTCTCGCAGATCCCATTCATTAGCCTCTCATTCTCTTCCCCGTGTCCTCTCCACCCCTCCCCATCCAGTCGCCTCCTTGGCCGTAGCGCCAATCCACAGACATATGGTATCATGAGGTAAAAATTTGATCCATGGGATATCTCTCCCTTGTTTCCAGCCCATCTCCCTTGATGACCCGATCATTTATTCTCTGAGGGCCAATCTCCCTAACGATCCTTGCATGAGACACGTAAACAGCCACATCTTGTTACTCGTCTTAAGGGTGGGAGGCGATTCCCAGTAGCTAAATAAGCACAACCAAGGTTCCTGTGGTATTGGCGTCCCCATGATGTTAGTCAGTAGGGCGATAATCTGCGTCCAATAGGCAGATACATCTGTACAATGCCATAGGCAGTGGGTCAGATCAGCACCCAGGAAGTCACATTTTGGGCATGCTCGTAAGTAAGGGGCCGGAGCCTTGATTTTAAGAAAGAAGTCAAAGCCATAGTATGCTTTATGCAGGATGCGAAACTGTGTCTCCCTCCAGAGCTCATTTGTGGTGCAACATCTGACATTCTGATATCCTTGGAGCATTTTCTCATA